CGATTCACCAGTTTTATAACCTACGCTGTAAGTACTGCAATCTTGCTTTTATGCACTGTTTATTAGACATTTTTGCTCGGTTTGAAGGTTTGTTTTCCATTTTTGCTGTCTGAATATAGGTTCTGCCGTTTTTCATTGAATTTTGCCTCGCTAGTTTTCTACTTTTTAGAAAAGGTTGTTGTCAACGATTGCGTGTAGCTTTCAATCTTGACTAAACAACACGAACAACTTTTCTAGCAGTCGGTTATCGCCGTTGTTATTTCTTTGTTTATATACTTGTTTAGTTACCCACATCGCCTCCTTTTATTCGAATTCACTTCAAAACTCTAAGATTGGTATGTGTAATTAGCTCTTTTTTTAAAGCCTTCTTGCAGTTTTAATCCCGCTCGACTGAATTAATCTTAAAGTAAATATTAATATTCAGCCGAGGAAAATCTTTGATGTATTTTCTTTCTTGTGGCTTTTAAGTTCGTCAATTCTTTTATCCTTGTTTGACACTCAGATTATGAATTGTCTACCAAGACACAAAAACCTTTCTTTATTCTAAAAGAGAGCTTAATTGTGATAATATAAATTACAAGTTAAAAATCATGTTGTAATCATTTGTTTTGGTTTGCAATCGATCGCGCGCTTTGAATAACATCAACACGAACACGCCCTTCTTCAAAGCACATAGGTTGGAGGCTGAAGTAAAATTTTCCTGAAACTTTTAAATCTCAGTAGGAAAAAAATAAAAATGTTATTCACCGGCCTAGATCGGTCCGTATTGGGAGAAACTGTGCCCTCGGTCTGAGTACTCAAGACCTCGGGCACAGTTTCTCCCAATACGGACCTCCCAGCCGGTGAATAACATATATATCTTCACATGTGAAAATCTCACCATTGCTATGGCTTCATAATAAACTGCACCTTTCAGACCAAAACACTATTTAAGTAAAATGGTTTGGCATTTCATTGGTGTTTATATAATAAATTGAACATAACATGGTCGCTTGAAGATACGAAATTTCTCTTCTCGTGTTGAAAAAAATATTTGACTCGTTCGCGCGTATTTTTCAACACTCGAAGAGAAGTTTCGTATCTCCGCGCGGCCATGTAATATCCTCTTTTTATGAAATGCTTTACCTTTTGAATTAAAATTGAAATCAAAAATAAATTCTTTTAAATTGCAGTCTTTTTTCTATTAAAATTAAGTGTTGTCTTAAGTTTGTTCATGACAATCTTCATACTTACACTTGTTGTTAAGGTAAAATGAGCGGTTTTGCCAGATGTTGTTGTTAAATTTTATTTCGTTATACTGATGTCAACATTTTTTTTTTTTTTTCGCTGTCCGTCTCAGCACTTCAGAAACTACTGTAGAAGGAACACATTTTCTGACCAGTACTGTCAGTGAGTTTGAGTATCGACAAAGGTGAAAAGTAGTCCTTTCGTTATTAGTATATGTAATAGGACTACATGCTGTCCAATTTTGAAATAATTGGATGAAAAAAATTCCGAGGACAGCCAAAATTGGACGAGGCCGTAGGCCGAGTCCAATTTGGCTGTCAGAGGAATTTTTTGAATTCAATTATTTCCAAATTGGACAAGCATGTAGTCCTCTTACTTATTAATTATATAGCTGGTTAGTTAATCCAGATTTTTTAGTATGTCACAGACGCGAAACATTGTACACTCGAACCCGCCAGTAGTGTATTTGAAACAAAAACACACTGGTTATTCTTTACAAATAAACAAACGTAGAACTAGTAAGCTTATTGCTCTTTCATACTTTGGCATTTGTAGTCAAGTGTACATTTGAAAAAGCTCCTTCGATGATACGGCAATGATACGATGGCACAGGTGAAAACCGCAATTTCGAGTACAAAGCAACAATGCAAATGCTTAAGCTTAATTTACATACGAAAACTATTGAAATAAACATTTCATCATGTTCATTCATTACCTCAAACGATTCCTCGGCACAAACTTTGTCCGTTTGTTTTGTAATGCCAACGTCTAAACACAACTATCAGTGTTTTCTTATTCTTGTCCAAAGTTTCAGTGCTTCTACATTTTCAAGAATCGTTGATTGTTTCCAATACAAACTTTCATCAGTTAAGTCATACATTTTCCTTTTTAAATGGCGCAGACAAGAAGCCAAAACAAAACAGCAGCCAACGAGCCGTCAGCGAACGAGACTTTTTTTGGCGCGTTGTCACAAGGACTTTGCGCTGATTGGCTAGTTTGCATTGCCTATTGTATTTTCTGGCATTTGATTGGCTCAGACCAGCTGTCCTATTTTTCTTAAATTGGACAGTTTGCCCATTCGTAAAAGAAAGTCCTATCTGAAACTATCCAAATTAATCCTTAATTGGACAGTTCGTAAAAATTAAAGGATAATAGCTTTGTTGACAATATCAGATAAACTAACAGCTATATAATTAAAGAAATAATAAATTTTAACTGCAACAGGAAAGAAGGCTTAAGTTTGCAGCTAGTACTCGGATAAACTGGACGGTGAGTAACGTTTTCTTTTTTAATTTAATTTGTCCATTACAAATTACATTTTACAACTCTTCTAATTAGGGAAATACTTTCAAAAACTTAATTATCTTGGCCATAGAGTGCAAAATGTACCTGAAAATTCAGCACAAACTTCACTGCCTTGGTTGCATCTAAAACAGACCATGCGCTACGTTGAGAAGAAAACAAGTTTGAATTCTTCGAAGGACGATTTCTTGATGAAAAGCTTCCCTTCCTCCACAAAAAGAAAGCTGAGCATTCTTTTGAACCTTTTCTTTCCATTTTTTGTCTTTTAACGGTGTATTTTTAACCTTGAAATGCAGAACCCTTGTCTTAAAACATCTGCATGGTGATCGCGCGGCAGCCATTTGTTGAAAATGGATATCTGTCTCTAAGGTTTCCAGATATGGTAAAAGTGAATATTCACGAGCATTGAACGCGAGTTACGTTTCAACCCCTTATGAGTTTCTGCTTTTATTTATTGACTTCTCTAATATTTCACCAAAACAAGGCAGAACGGAGATGATTCTATACACTGTAATTACAAGACTCTTCCTTATTGTTCGCTTTCAATACTGAAGTAACCAGTGCAACTTAAAGGTCACTATGAATAATACCAGAAAGGAAGACTGGTTAAGGTGACTCGACCCAGTTTTTTTGGGGGGGTACCATCCTACTTTGAAGTTCTCTGGTGTCCCACCTTTACTTTTATCGTAAGTCTAACACATAGAATGGATAACATATAGATCAATCTACAATATAACATAAAATATTTGGCGATCGGAGTAAATGTCACGTGGTTATAATGCCACGCCCCTTTGAGGTCTGAGTCGAAAATCTGCTGTTGCAGGCATTTTTTCGTGAAAATCTCTGTCATTATACAGCATTCTTTTTCAGCACGCGTGCAATGACCACGCTTGGCTGACTTCCGAATGCTCACCGAGATATTCCTGTCACGAGTTGGTTTAATTATTGGCTTGCATTAAACATATAAAAAAATGATATTTTTTTAATAGTAAGTAGATTTAGTGTGTAGCACTTCTTGATTTTTTTGCAAAGGCACAAGAAGCACGAGAATTGATTAAAAATTGTGAGTTAAACCTGTATGTATCACGCGATGGCCTGTCTCACTGTACCAAACTGATCATATCTCGGTGAGCATTCGGAAGTCAGCCAAGCGCGGTCATTGCACGCGTGCTGAAAAAGAATGCTGTATAATGACAGACTAGAAACAATAGACAACTCCCAAAGCACAAACTCAGCCAAAACGCTAAAAATCTTCAATGTTTACTCAAGTTTGGGCTTATAGAAGATAATGTCACAGTTTTTCAATGACCATGAAATTCAGAGTCCGGGTAGTTAGTTAATCAATTGTGGCCCTGAAAAAATTTGAAGGAAAAAAAACTACGAATTTTTAAGAAAATGCTTTTTTCGTGAGAAGGACTCTTAAACGCTGACAAACGTCAACAAATAGCGAAAACTATAATTTCTATATGTTTGCTTTGCTCGAAATCGCGCGCATTTACAAGGCCCTAAAGCGTTTTGCTGACTTGCAAGGACCTATCTGTTATAAGGATGCTCAAAACAAAGAGATGAATCTCATAGTTTATTAGATATAATCCGTGTAAAGTTTGCTTATCATTTTCGCATAAATTATGACCTAAATTTGGAAACCGCAGAATTTCTCGAATTGGGTCTTTGCGATTTTGGTAAAACTCTGTTCAGCGCAAGGCACTAATGCGCGCTATGTGTAGCCGAGAGATTTTCACGAAAAAATGCCTGCAACAGCAGATTTTCGACTCAGACCTCAAAGGGGCGTGGCATTATAACCAAGTGACATTTACTCCGATCGCCAAATATTTTATGTTATATTGTAGATTGATCTATATGTTATCCATTCTATGTGTTAGACTTACGATAAAAGTAAAGGTGGGGATACCAGAGAGCTTCAAAGTAGGAGCGTACCCCCCCAAAAAAACTGGGTCGAGTCACCTTAAATATGTATGTTAGTGGTTGAACTATATACGTACTTTAATTCAGTTCATATGTCCTTGTTGCCAAAGTTCTTTTTGTGGGAAACAAACTGGAAAAAAGCTTGTCACAAGTGTCTAATCAAGTCCTCAAGGCGCAGTATCACGGCTGTAAAGTTGATGTTGTTAATACTGTCTATTGTGCCTTCTTGTGTGCTATGGAACTTGACGTTAACAAAGGAACTTATTTCTACGCGACAAAATCACAGGTTCTTGTCCAACAATTATACTTCCCAACAAATGAACAGAAATGAATTTTTAAGAACTATTAGGCTAACAATTTTTCAAAAACCCACAATAACAAAAAACAAGATAGTTTAGCCTGCAAATATCACAAGCTATTGAGGCGGGCAAAAACAAATTAAAGCCAAAAACTAATAATGTAATAATTGTAGAAATTGGCAAAACCACGCAAAATATGCTGAATTGTCGCGGTTGTAACATCTTACATTACCATTGATTTTAATCTCATTCCTCATATAGCACTTTCACGTCTCCAGGTAAGTGGTCCTCATCAAGATATTCCCAAGGATAGTATCCAGTCTCAAGCATAAAATCGCTAACATTTGATAAACCTGTTTTACTACCTTTGTTGTTTTTTTTCCATTCCACCCAAAGTTTGTCGAGAAAGCTATGGAGAAGCCAAAATTCGGGACTGTATGGAGCCGTCTTAAAATCAGACAAAGTGTCACCAACACATCGATGATAAGTCGTATGGTAACTGTAAAATATTTTATCTCTAAAGACAGTATAATTTGCTTCCGTAAGGATCTTTTCTGCTTGTTCTGCATTTGGTAGATGGCAAGAATAATTAAAATGTCTTTTTAAGCAATTTCCACCAGCAGACTGTGGTAAAGAGTATTCACCCTTTTTAAACGGACCATCCATCACACAATCGAAAGGAGAGACTCCATTACCTCCCAGACCGTGAGGACCTGGATTCCATATATCCTCGATCTCAGTGCCTCGTGTCCAGTGCGCTGCATCTTTAATCCAATCCCGGTAAGCAATTGTAACCCGGCAGTCGATCTGGCGAAGAAGATTTTCTAACTCCAGGACATACCATCTGTGCCAGGGGAAAAAGTTTTTCAATTGTGGTACTACTGTATGCAGTTTTCCTAATTTCTCATAGTCCCCTATATATCTTGGATCAGATGAAAGAAGTTTGAAAGCTTTTATGAAACGTATTCTTTCTTCAAAGCTCATTTTGGTGAACTCTTTTCGCACTCTGTAGCAAGAAACTAGTTTTCCACTTTTACATTCGCATTTCCTCTCACAGATGTCTCTAACGGTTTTGTTGTCTTCGCACGTCATTCTGAAACCTATGAGAAAGAATTCAACAGTCACAAGAGCAACTTAACATTTACCGGCTGGGAAAACTGGAAAAACGGTTTGGAAAATCAAATGGTTTGCGCCTATTCCGTTTGGGTAGCTTCAGAAAAAAATGGGCTGTGATTGGAGAGGATGCAATTTTTCTAGCCCTTTCAGTCTGTTCAGAAGATTTGGATACACAGTGTAGCCCCACCACGTGAAATTTTACCGTTTTCACTGCGGGTCAGCTGTCATCAAAAATTGATCTCTTTCAAACGAGTTTTTCAATTTTTAGCCGTTTGAGCTGAGACCTTGCACGATAATAGACCTTTGTATTCCCAACAATCGCATGTTTTTCGATTTTTGATTTTAACGGTTTTTGGCGCAAAAATGACTTAATAAGACTGACAGTAAAAAATAGCTTTAAACTTATGCCATAAAAGGCTAGCAATATTGAAAGAGTACCCAGAGAAGTACTTAAATGTGAAAAAAGGTTTTGAAAGCGAAGATACTACATTCTAAAGATCAACAAGTTTCTAAAAATAGTAACAAAATGGCGGAAAATACGAAATTCACAGCTCAATAACTTTTCAACTAGGTAAAAATGCGTTCCTCCATACTTATAATTAAGTGCCTTCCTCCTATGTAATGAGCATCTCTCCACTACAATAGGCGCAATACTGGGTTGCCTAAACTTGCCCTGTCTCTTTTAACCCTGATTGGCTTATGTAGAATCTTTTATGTGTTCAAAATAAAAGCGGGCATTTTTTGAAAGCGCTATCTTTCTTGCAATCGCTTTGCTAGGAAACAGTTTGTTCGAGTTCGCTTGTTTGAGAAAACGTTTATTCACTTTTTATCACCATGGGTTTCGTTACGGATGTTCGAGAATTTCAAGCTCTTTTGGACGCTTGTTCCTCGACCCGCGAATGGGAAATATTCATACACACATACACAAAGTGGAGCCGAAAACTCTCTTCTTCAGTTTTTTCTGACTATTACAAAATCGTTTCCTCCTATCTATCTGGAAGAAATGAAGGTAGTTACGCAAGTTCACAAATCCACCGTTGCATACAAATTAGTTGATCTCTACAATAAGGGAGCACCTTGGCACGCGACTAATAATTGCTAGCAATAAATTCAGACACGATATATCGTTTTAAAAACGTTTTTTAAAAAACAATGTCAAAAAGAGTCAGCGATTTGAAAGGAATCTGTTAAAATAGTCAAAGAAGCAAGCTATCTTTTTTTACACAAAGTGAATAAAAGTTTTCTCAAACAAGCGAACTCGAACAAATTGTTTCCTAGCAAGCGATTGCAAGAAAGATAGCGCTTTCAAAAACTGCCCGCTTTTATTTTGAACACATAATGGACTCTACATGAGCCAATCAGGGTTAAAAGAGACCGGGCAAGTCCAGGCAAACCTATTGTACCAATATTGCAGTAGTGGAGAGACGCTTATTACATTTGGAGGAAGGCACTTAATTAATATGGAGGGACGCATTTTTACCTAGCTAGCTAGATACTGACTAGGCACATAATTAATATGCAGGAAGGTACTAAATTAGTATGCAGGAAGACACTTACACATATTAATCAAGGGTAGGCATACAGAAGGCAAGGGAAGGCACCAAAACGGCGTAAAAATATAAGTGTAAGGAGGGTCCCTGTTTGATCTTTTCTCTGTGTTCGACGGCCCCTTTTGCTGCCCCCACACAATTTTCTCAAGGACTTTTCCTCGCCTCGGAACTGATATCTAGTTTGTCCCTCCCTTTATAGTTCGCCTTATCACCCTTCCCTGCTGGACGCTCTTCAAGAATGTAATAATCACTAAAGATAATTATTTATCCATTCGCCCCTGAGAATTTTGCGGCAAAACGCGTATTGAAGCTAGTAGAACCGTTTCCTGGTCACTCTCTGGCTATGAAGGGATAAAACTTACCACAAAGCCGTTTACAGGCGTCCACTTCCCGGCCTTCTCATCCAGATGCATATATTAGCTTGCGAAGTTTAGGCGTGCGCAGAAAGTTTTTAGGTTTAAAATGTAAAAGGTGTAAGAGTCAGTCTTGACTTTTTCTTTTCGCTTTCTCTCCTCCCCTCTTCTTTCGCTTTTCTGGCCTCACTTCCTTTTCTTTTGCTGGGCATTTAGTAGGCTTCATTTCGGTGGGAAAGTTTTAGTGGGGAAGTTTTTGGGAAAGCGTTTAGGATCTTACGGTGGGTAGTGGAACAAGACTTTCATGGGAATCTTCGAGTCAACTTTCCATGTAGCCTGAGAAAACAGCCGATATTTGGCGACGCTACAACTTGTTTCCCCGCCAAATGACGTCTGAGAAACGAGCGCAGAAATTCCATACTGATGACGCGTCACTATCAAGATCTGGGTAATGCTTCTGATTGGTCATGCCACGTGGGAAATTTGATTCAACCAATCGGAAGCACTACCCAGATCTTGGGAGTGACGCGTCATCAGTCTTGAATCTCTGCGCTCGTTTATCAAACGTCATTTGGAGGGGAAACCAATGGAAGCGTCGCCAAATGTAAGCTGCTTTCTCAGGCCTCTTTCCATGTTTTTTTTTTTTTTGCCTTTTTCTCCGGCTTCCCTCATTGAATCGTGCTCATTTTGGCATGGTTTGAAACATCTCTTCACCCTCCACAAGTTAGCAGACAAAGTCGTCCTTGACCGTTAAAACTGATGATGTCACAAGCGGTAGAAGGAATTTGGATCTGCTCGGGTGGTTCAGGGGCGAATGGGTTAATGAAACAAGTCGGCTTACCCTCCACTAGTCTTAAGGAACTCTAATTTCTGGATGAATTCCGCTAGGCGAATTTTCGTTCTGGGCAAACTTAACCTAAAACAATTTATCAATGGCAATAAAAATTCAGGATTCGAACCTACCTTTATTGACAACACTTTCCAAGGTTTCGACGTCAAGATTAGGACAGGCATGTGGTGATTTCTTGAGAGTAGTTGCGGCCGTCAACACAAGGTAGCGATAAAAATACGAGAGGTTTCCAAGAAGACGAGGAACGGAAAAGCAATCAATTGAGTTCTGCAAAAATAAGATTTTAAGTCATAACTTTATTCCCTCGGCCTTCCCATCCTGACTGAAGTAAGTAGCCTGGTATGTTTACATTTCTTGGAAAGTCCAATGGACAGTAAATACCTCTTATTAGCTGAGTATGATTTAGTTTTACCTTTCAGGGACAGAATGTAAATGCGCCATATTAAAAAAGTATATTCGATCAAAACTAGGAGCACTGTAAGTTTTAGCTCGCCAATGCAACATTCGAGTCCTTTAGAAACTGGACACCGTGTCTAGTTCGAAGTCGCTTCCGTCTTTCGTTCGTTGGTCTTCGAAAAAAACACTGCTAATGGGAAAGAAGATTGTCAAGGTTAAAAGTTTGTTATCGTTTCAGTATTCAGCAAAACGTCTCTAATCTCTGCCAGTCCATTCTCGTCTTCTTGAACTTGACTAGCGATCACTGACTAAAATTATCTTCGTCGGTAAGATTACGATTCATGCAGTTGAACCTTCAACAGTTCTTAAATAAACACAAGTTAAAATTTAGAAGGACGAAAGCAACATCCGAGTCCACAAGGTTAACAGACATATATAAGATAACTTTCTTTTTAATAATTTGTTCGAGATAAAAAAAAATATCTAAATCTAGAGCTGCAAAATAATCATTAGCTTTTGAAATTTTGGTCCGTATAGTAAGTTATGGACCGCACCCAAACTGACCAGTCGCAGGGCGAAAACAAACTTAGCCATAATATATAGATTTAGCCGGGGCTAAAAGCGAATCTCTCGATAATATTTAATGGTTTGCTCAAATAAAATATAAAATCGTGTAATGTTAGGTGGCGAAGACAATGAGAACGGTGAAAAAACAACAATAGGTCTAATTAGCAAAAAGCAACTTTCACACGTGCAGTACACTTTTTTGTATATTTCATTGCCGTTGCTTTGCATGACTACAACGTGAAACTTCCAGAAACTTCCTGGTTACACGTTTTATGCAGAAAACGTCGTACGTGTTCTTGTTCCCTTTTTTTCACTGTCGCTCATTTTGACCCTGGTGGCCGCTAGCATTTCTCTTTTTCTCACCACTGCTACAAACTTTCATGTTGTTCCTCTAACAAACAGTGTCTCCTTTGTTTTTCCTGTCTCTCGCTCTACCTGTTCTTCTCGTTGAGCTTCGCTGGCCTGTCCTCTACTTTCTCTTTTTCTCTGTCTCTCTCAGTTTCTCTATTTTCCGAATTTGTGGACATGACAATTAATCCAAGCTTAATACTTTAGACAACACGGATATAGAAACAATTTCTGCTTTCCGTTTTCGTCTTTATTGACTCTTTAGTTGTCTCTGCTTCACAAGATGCGGGTGGCCATACGATTTACCACCAAAATAACCGGCTTACATGTAGTGGGTGTACGGACGGTCGGCGCTCGTACGCTACGTCCTAACCAAATTTTCTTGCGTCCATAGGTTACCAATTTCTCTTAGCAATGGGGCTCCGCCGCGCGCGCTTCGCTCGCGCGGAAGCTCCGCTAAAATAATCAAAATTATTGCGCTGTACA